GCGGTTCAGTCTGAGAATTTGCTTCATATCCTGACTTTTCAAAATCAAATTCAAGACATAAAAGAAGCAAAATTAAAGTACGTAAAACAGCTATATCCTGATATTTTTATCCAAGTCACTTCCCAGAGTTTGTAGTGCTGCTGTGCTCTGTTGGTTAAAACAAAACAACAAAAGCAGTAGGCAGCTTCCAACTTAAAGGTAATGAAATTTACCAGTTTGCAGCTAAAAGTCACAGTGGAAGAACACATATAAGGTGAAGAATGCTTTTAAACCTTTCAGCTTTAAGTAGTACTGTATCTTAACTTTAAAGAGAAGTTCTATTATATATTTTTTGCATAAACATTTTAAAATATTAGAACAAGTCTTTGTAATACAATATATATTAGACTTCAATATAACTCATGTGAATTAAAAACATGTTAACTTGATAACTGTCATAAGGCAAAAGCTGTACAGAAACTTCTTAGTGGTGTCCCTTTAAAATTAACTTGATTTAGTGGGTTGCCTTAAAATGAACACAAAACAATAAAAGACTAAAACAGAGGCAGTGATGCTCTAATACTGAATCCCAGAAAAAGCACAGTAGCAAATGATGTGTTTTCTAACAGGGAGACCAGGTGGGTCAGCAAACTGGGACCAGGTGAGCAGCCCCTGGTACGTGATTCATCTATTGCACTGGCCAGGTGCTGAGAGTAGATCGCTTGCCTAGGAAGTTTGGTTAAAGGTACCAGCATCTTTAGTACTAATCACAGTGCCTGAGACAGAGCAGGTGCTCAGCTCTACTTGCTGAACTGATCTGATGAAGATGCTTTAAAATCAACAGGGTGCTGGGCAGTGTGAAGTTCATGGAAAAACTCCATTTTGCATTTTGTTTTGGTATGTGAGTAACTACTGATCTAGTGTTTCGAGTGTGGCTCGCATAACACCTTGTGGACTGTGGTGAATGGAATTAACTACGCACTGCATTGGCGATCAATGCCAGAGTCTCTGAATATCAGGTCATAAACATAACCAACTGTGCAATATAACCGACACGATGATCAAAGCACACCTCACAATGAACAGATTTTAGTCCAGACGATTAAAAAAAATAAAGTATTAGACTGCATTTAGTGCAACGCTCTATCGATCATACCACACATCAGATACCATGCTGTGGAGACGTACTGGAGTAGCATATATACAGCACACAGCCAGGATTCAAACCGGGGTGAAAGGGCGAATACGGAACAGAACATTTTTACATACGTGTGTACATTTAATGGTCTTGTCCACTGAACTGGATTTATTATACGTTTGCTGTGCCACATCTACTAGCTTGCATAACAACCCAAATTATTTTTTTTTACGCAAAGATCTACTTCCATTTAAAGTAGAAAAAGGTGGTGGTTAAAAAAAAAAACTTCTTGAAGCTCCAACAACTGTGTCCCAAATACCACTGTATGAACACCTAAAAAATATTAAGAACAATTTAGAAACACGCACAACTAAAAATGTACAAACATCGATTAAAGTCACAAAGGGAACTAGTGAATGAATACTTCCAATTTTTATTTAAACTTACCTAGGCATATTAGATAATGTTGACTATACATAAAAAAGAGGGAGCTTTAGAAAGTTAAAATCTCTACTTGCAAATTTTATACATGAGCCTTAGCTACAGGCACATTCATTTAGACTTCAATGAACCCAGGGAAAGATTCGTCACTGACACAAAGGGAGAAGGACCTCTAACTCAATCACTGCCATCAACTTTCCTTTCTGAGCAAGCGCATCAAGGATCTCCTACAAGTTCTTTCAAGCAGAGAATCTAATTGTTTTCATCGGTGAGGCGGGGTTTAATCTAGCATTTTGCTCTGTTTTATATTTTCCCCATCTGTTCTTTACTTCCTTTTTCCCTCTTTTCCTGCCCTCTTTTGGATTTATTTAATTATGTATTTACTCCATTTTGATTCCCATGTTGGCTTATTAGCCAAAACTCTTCGTTGTGTTGTTTCAGTGGTTGCTTTAAGATTTTTTTCTTAAGATTTTATTTTTTTAGAGCAGTTTTAGCTTCGAAGCAAAATTGAGGCAGGAAAAGTATGTAGAGTTCCCAAAGACCCCCTGCCTTCACACATACACAGCCTCCCCTGTTATCAACGTTCCCACCAGATGGTACATTTGTTACAGCTGATGAGCCTACACTGACAATTCATAACCACCCCAAATCCATAGTAAATTACAGTTCACTCTTGGTGTTCCATGTTCTAGGGGTTTGGACAGATGATGACACGTATCCATCACATGGTATTATACAGAGTATTTTCACTCTCCCCCAAATCCTCTGTGCTCTGCCTAGTCACCCCTCCCTCCCATCCCCAGCCCCTGATCTTTCCCCTGTCTCCATAGTTATGCCTTTTCCAGGATGTCACATAGTTGGAATCATGCAGTATGTAGCCTTTTCAGATTGGCTTCTTTTGTTTTTTTGACCACACCACATGGCGTGTGGGATCTTAGCTCCCAACCAAGGATTGAACCTGTGCCCCCTACATTGGAAGTGCGGAGTCTTAACCACTGCACCGCCAGGGAAATCGCCAGATTGGCTTCTTTCACTTAGTTATATGCCTTGGAGGCTTGAGAGCTCATTTGTTTTTAGTGCTGAATAATATTCCATTGTCTGGACAGACCGCAGTTTACCCATTTGCCTTCCGGAGGACATCCTGTTTGCTTGCAAGCTTTGGCAATTATGAATAATGCTGCTATAAACATCCATGTGCAGGTTTTTGTGTGGACATAAGTTTTCAACTCCTTTGAGTTAATAGCAAGGAGTGAGACTGCTGGATCATACAGTAAGAGTATGTTTAGTTTCATCCACCTACCTATCCATCTATCTATCTACCTACCTACCTAATGGTTTTACCCGTGTTATACGACTGACAGTTTAAACATTGATTATAAACATGTCTTGTTTATTTATTTTTAAGCATTACTCTTTTTTTTAATTTAATTTTTATTTTTGGCTGCGCTGGGTCTTTGTTGCAGTATGCGGGTTTCTCATCGCGGTGGCTTCTCTTGTTGTGGAGCACGGGCTCTAGGAGAACGGGCTTCAGTAGTGTAGCATTCGGGCTCAGTAGTTGTGACACGTGGGCTCTAGGTGCGTGGGCTTCAGTAGTTGCAGCACGTGGGCTCAGTAGCTGTGGCTCGCGGGCTCTAGAGCGCAAGCTCAGTAGTTGTGGCACATGACTGAGTTGCTCTGCGGCACGTGGAATCTTCCTAGACCAGGGATCGAACCCGTGTCCCCTGCATTGGCAGGTGGATTCTTAAGCACTGCGCCACCAGGGAAGTCCTAAGGTTAGTTTTGTAAGAAAATGCCAAGCTGTCTTCTAAAGTGGCTGCACCATTTTGCATTCCCACCAACAGTGAACGAGAATTCCTATTGTTCTACATCCTCACCAGCATTTGGTGTTGTCAGGGTCTTGGACTGTGGCCATTCTAGTAGGCTTGTAGTGATATCTCATTGTTTTACTTTGCTTTTTCCTTGATGGCATATGATATGGAGTATGTTTTCATATACTTATTGCCATCTGGATATCTTCTTTGGTGAGGTGTCTGTTAAGGTCTTTGGCCCGTTTTTAAATTGGGTTGTTTGTTTTCTTACTGTTGCGTTTTAAGAGGTCTTTGTGTATATAGGATTAACAGTCCTTTATCAGGTATGTGTTTCACAATTATTTTCTCCTGGTCTATAGCTTGTCTACTAATTCTCTTGACATTGTCTTTTGCAGAGCAGAAGTTTTTATTTTTCATGAAGTCCAGCTTACCAATTATTTCTTTCATGGATTGTGTCTTTAGTGCTGTGTCTAAAAAGTCATCACCATACCCTAGGTCACCTACATTTTCTTTTATCTTCTAGGAGTTTTATATTTTTGCATTTTACATTTAGGTCTGCGATCCATTTTGAGTTAATTTTTGTGAAGGCTCCAAGGTCTGGTATGTAGATTCATTTTTTTGCATGGATGTCCAGTTGTTCTAGCACCATTTGTTGAAAAGACTATTTTTGCTCCATTGTATTGCCTTTGCTCCTTTATCAAACATCAGTATGTGGGTGTATTTCTGGGCTCTCTGTTCTGTGCCACTGATCTACTTGTCTGTTATCTCACCTATACCATACTGTCTTGACTACTGTGGCTTTACAGTGTGTTGGGTAGTTACAGTCCTTCAGCTTTGCTCTTCCCCCTCGACACTGTGTTGGCTATTGTGGGTCTTCTGTCTCCTCTCCGCATACACTTCAGAATCAGTTTGGTTTTCCTTGTGTAGATGTTGTTAGAGTTCTACCTACTTCCTTTTTGGGGGGACGCTAATGTAAAGGGTATTGTGTTTTTCATTTCGAATTGCACTTGTGCATTGCTGGCATAGAGAAAAGTGATGGACTTTTGTACATTAATGTTGTATCTTGCTACATAATCATTTATATAGCGTTTGTGGATTTTTTGGATTTTCTACACAGATTATCATCAGCCAACAAAGTTAGTTAATGTCTCCCTTCCCAGTCTGTACACCTTTTATTTCCTCCTCTTATTGCATTAGCTAGGACCTCCAGCATGGTGGTGAGAGGGGACCTCCTCGCCTTGATATTAGGAGGAAAGCTTCAACTTTCTCACCATTAAGCAGGATGTTAGCAGTAGGTTTGGGGTAGATTTTCTTTATTAAGTTGAGGAGATTCCCCTCTATTCCTACTTTACTGAGAGCTTTCATTGTGAATGGATATTGGATTTTGTCAAATGATTTTTCTGCATCTCTTGATGAAATCATGTGATTTTTGCTCCCTGTTGATGTGACGATTCCATTAATTGATTTTGGAATGTTGAACCAGGCCTGCATACCTGGGATAAATCCCACTTGGAAGGATGTAATTCTTTGTATACATTGTTGGATTCAATATAACATTTTGTTGAGAATTTTTGCATCTATGTTCACAGGAGATACTAGTGTGTAGTTTTCTTTTCTTGTAATGTCTTTGTCTGGTTTTGGAATTAGGGTATTGCTGGCCTCATAGAATGAGTTAGGAAGTGTTCTGTCTGCTTTTGTTCTGTGAAAGAGACTGAAGAGAATTGTTATAGTTTCTTCCTTAAATGTTTGGTGGAATTCACCAGTGAACCCGTGTGGGCCTGGTGCTTTCTGTTTTGGAAGATTATTAATTATTGGTTCAATTTCTTTAATAGATATAGGCCTATTCAGCTTGTGTATTTGTTGTTGTATAAGTTTTGGCAAATTGTGTCTTTGATAGAATTGGTTTATTTCATGTAGGTTATCAAATTTGTGGGCATAGAGTTGTTCATAGCATTCCTTTATTATCCTTTTAATGTCCACAGAATCTACAGTGATGTCCCCTCCTTCATTTCTGATATTAGTAATTTTATATCTATATCTATATTTTTTTCCTTAGCCCGGCTAGAGTCACTGATTTTACTGGTCTTTTTCAAGGAACCAGCTTTGGTTTCGCTGATTTTTCTCTATTGATTTCCTGCTCTAATTTTTATTATTTCTTTTCTTTTGCCTACTCTGCCTTTAATTTTCTCTTCTTTTTCTGGTTTTCTATGGTGGACACTTATATGATGGTATTTAGACCTTTCTTCTTTTCTAATACATGCATTCAACGCTATAAATTTCACTCTAAGTACTATTTGTGTTGAATCTTCCCAAATTTTGATAAGTTGTGTTTTTTCATTTAGTTCAAAATATTCTTAAATTTCTCTTGAGATTTCTTCTTTCACTCATGTGTTATTTAGAAGTGTGTTGTTTAATCCCCACATATTTTGGATTTTCCAGTTATCTTTCTGTTACTGATTTCTAGTTTAATTCCACTGTGGTCTGAGAGCAGACACTGGATGATTTCTATTCTTTTAAATGTGTTCAGGTGTGTTTTATGGCCCAGGATGTGGTCTATTTTGGTGAGTGTTCCGTGTGAGCTTGAGAAGAATGTGTGAGCAGAGATTCTCACTGCTGAAAATCTCTAACTTTTAATTATGCAATCGCCTCTCCTTTTCATAACGCGGCTGCAAAAAGCAGTGACAGCCTCCACCTCTAAGCCTGTGCGGGGCTATGGGTAGCAAACAGAGGGCGAGGCCGAAGACGGCAGGGCTGCCGCGACGCAGGCACCTACCTGTGCACCCAGTGCTGCTTCAGCAGCCACACTCCTGTGCGCTCGGGGCCTGTGCGCGGCGTGGAGACCGCAGCTGTCTCAAGGCAGCATCTCCATACTGAATACCTGAGCCCATTCTTTCTGGGTCCAGCTCACCTGAGGACCAAGCAAGTCTTTAGAAAAAGTTTTCATGTTTCTGTAATCCCCACAATATATTAAGTGAAAAAAGCAAAGTGCAGAACACTGTGTATATACAACACAATTTTAAATAAAGAGGAAAAAATACACACGTTTGCTTGTATGGGCATAAAAACCTCTTTGGATGGATACATAAAGAACTGGTTATAATGGCTGACTTCAAAAAAGAGCTCTAGAAAGCTAGGGGACAGGAGACGGGGTAACAGAGGGTGACTCACTGTATCCTCTTCTGCACTTTCTGAATTTGGAATTATGTGAATATATTATGTATACAAAGATTTAATTTAAAATTAAACCACAAATTAAAAATATACCATTTTTCACTTATGAGACTGGTAAAAACCCACATATGATAATACACCCTGTGGGTGTGGCTTTAGTGAAATAAACACCTTCATTCACTACTAGTGGGATGATAAACTGCTACAACCCTGATGGAGGAATTTGATAGCCTCTACCTAACTTCCAAATGCTTGTGTTCTTTAATGCAGCAAATCCACTTCTGGGAATTTATCCTATACATACACTCACACACATGTGAAATGACATACAAAAGGCTATTTACTGCAACATTTTTTGTTACAGCAAAATACTGGCAACAACTCAAATGTCCGAAGTAGACTGGTTAAATAAATTATGGCAATACACAAAATTGAACACTACATACACACACGCATTATGTGTGCACATGTACATGAGCATGTATATATGTATATGGAAGTCTCTAAATACTGATTTGTCATCACTGGTAGGTATAGTAAGTGCAGAGTTCATAGTATGCTAACTTTTGTGTAAAAAGGAGGGGAGAAAATAATGGTTTTGAACCATATGAATGTACTGCCTCTTTAGAAAACTAAAATTAAAAAGTACTGCTGAAATGGATAAACAACAAGGTCCTACTTTACAGCACAGGGAACTATATTCAATATCCTGTGACAAACCATAATGGAAAAGAATATGAAAAAATATATGTATATACAACTGAATCACTTTGCTGTACAACAGAAATTAACACAACATTGTAAATCAACTATACGTCAATAAAATCTAAAAAAAAAAGTACTGCTGAAGAGTTCTAACATGTCCTTATAGTTTTTCATCTGATGTAACTATGATTTGGATGATCTCAGAAGAAAAAGATCCTGAAAGCTCTATATGAATTAACTCGCACACACTGTATTCACGGGAGGATACCAAAGGGGGAAGGTAAACTAAGGAGCTCATGTTGAGCTTCTGCTAATACTCAACATCACACCAATTTTCATGGTAACTATTTATGCTCTAGTCTTTAAAAATAACAGTTCTGTACCAGCTTGAGTAACTTTTTGCTGCTGTTTTCAGGTCAAAAGACCACAGAAGGATGAAGCGGCCCTGTTCCTGCT